ACGCCGCTGGTTCTGTAGATGCCGCTGGTTCTTCACGTTCTGTAGACGCCGCTGGTTCTGTAGACGCCGCTGGTTCTGTAGACGCCGCTGGTTCTGTAGACGCCGCTGGTTCTTCACGTTCTGTAGATGTAGATGCCACTGGTTCTTCACGTTCTGTAGATGCCGCTGGTTCTGTAGATGCCGCTGGTTCTTCACGTTCTGTAGAGGCCGCTGGTTCTGGAGACGTCGCTGGTTCTTCACGTTCTGTAGAGGCCGCTGGTTCTGTAGACGCCGCTGGTTCTTCACGTTCTGTAGATGCCGCTGGTTCTTCACGTTCTGTAGATGCCGCTGGTTCTGTAGATGCCGCTGGTTCTTCACGTTCTGTAGATGCCGCTGGTTCTTCACGATCTGTAGATGCCGCTGGTTCTTCACGTTCTGTAGATGCTGCTGGTTCTGTAGATGCCGCTGGTTCTTCACGTTCTGTAGATACCGCTGGTTCTTCACGTTCTGTAGATACCACTGGTTCTGTAGATGCCGCTGGTTCTTCACGTTCTGTAGATGCCGCTGGTTCTTCACGATCTGTAGATGCCGCTGGTTCTTCACGTTCTGTAGATGCCGCTGGTTCTTCACGATCTGTAGATGCTGCCGCTGGTTCTTCACGTTCTGTAGATGCCGCTGTTTTTTTTCCGGTAACGTCACGTAGGTAAAATAAAATGAATGAAAGCAACTAAATTAAATCACGACGTTTCGGAGGCAACACAAGCCTCCGTCTTCAGGTGGAACAGTCACAGCAAAATAGCTGTATCAAGTGAAGAGCTCTAAGACACCCGAGATTATATAGACAGGTTAAGGGGGGTTAGGGGGGCGGAGAGGCGATGGCGAGCGGTTGTCGAAAATGAGAGAAACCTACTGGAAGAAATGGAAACGGCTGTGCAATTATAATGCAGCTAAAGTTCGACTCGGTTGATGACATCTTTCCAATGGTTGCTCAGTTTAAAACCATCCCCTCGGTTGAAGTTGCGCCTATGTTTGTTTGTATATCCGGATGGCTTCATGGACAAGTCTTTGGTAGTGTCCGGGAGGCTTGCAGAGTACTTGGGTATCGGAGAAAACAATGTGATGAGGACCCGCTGTGTTGAAACAGTGATCAGCCACGGCCGAAGAATTTGTTCTGCCGTGTTTCAAGTCTGATTTGTGCTCGCGAATTCGGTCAGAGACATGTCGCTTCGTCTCCCCGATATCGCAATCACCGTAGGTACAACTCAATATGTAAACACCGGGGTAATGTAAATCAGGAATGACATCCTTCACGGATGGGATCAGATCACGGATTTTGTGTACTGTATTGAACCGGACCTGGATCTTGTGTTTGTTTAGAATTTTGGAAATATTTTTGGTAACGCCTGCTATGTATGGCAACGTGATGATTTTGATCGGAGTGTCAGGTGGTTGTTTCTGTATGGTGGGAGTAACAGCTTGGCGGATAGTACAGTCAGAGTATCCGTTCATCTTGAGGGCCAGTTGTACATGTTTTAATTCACTGGCCAGGTGTTGTTGGTCAGAAATGCAATGAGCCCTATGGTATAGCGTTTTGATGAAGGAATTATTTTGAGCCGGGTGGTGGTGGGAATCAGGCTTCAGGTAGGAATCTGTGTGGGTGGACTTCCTGTAGACAGAATGTCCCCAAGAGCCTTCAGGCCTCCTCTCAAACAGAACAACCAAGAATGGCAGCTTGCCATCTTTCTCCACTTCCATGGCGAATTTGATGGATGGGTGTCTGGAATTGATGTGGTGTAGGAAATGGTTCAATGCTGGGAGGCCATGTGGTCAAATGACGAAAGTGTCATCCACATATCTCTTCCACAGGGAAGGACGTAGGGTGGATGTCTGGATGGCGTTTGATTCAAATTTCTCCATGAAAACATTGGCTATCACTGGTGATAAGGGGGAACCCATAGGGGTATCTTCATTTTGTTTGTAGAAGGCGCCATTCCAGGTGAAGTAGGTGTTGGTGAGGCAGTGCCTAACCAGCGCAGGTACATCGGGGTCCAGTCCACGTTGGACCAAGTCTTCAATTATTGTCATGGTGTCAGGCACCGGGACCTTGGTGAACAGAGAGACCACATCAAAGCTGACGAGGATATCGTCAGGAGGCAGTGCAATGCCCTTGACCATAGAAACCAATTGGGTTGAGTTAAGTACCGCTGAGGTGGTCTTGCCAGTGAAGGGGAGCAGAGTATCCGATAAAAAAAAAAACGGGCCAGCTTGTAGGTAGGGGAGTTGATCGTTCGTGGACACGATGGGTCGTATTGGGGTACCTTCTTTATGCATCTTGGGAAGACCACAGAATCTGGGAGGTCTTGCAGCCGAGGGTTTTAGGGAGGGACGTTCAGTTGGTCCGATTAGGGAGGTCGAACTAGTGATGATCTTGTTGGTTTTTTATATCGTTAGGCTGTTAGTGGGATCACATTTAATTTTGGCGTAACTGCCATCATTGAGTAGGTCCTGGATTTTGCTGTTGTACGAGTTTTTTTTATCGATGATAACAGTGGTATTGCCCTTGTCGGCCGAGAGATGACAATATCATCCCTCGTTTTCAAATTCGCGAGTTCGGAGCGTTCGTTTTTGCTCATGTTGCTAATGGGTTTCTTAGCATTCTTGAGAACAGTGGCTATTTCAGCTCTCGCAACGTCCGCTTGGATGTGTCCTATGCCTTTGAGGGCTACATCCACCTGAGAGGATGACATCCTCTACTGGTATGTGTTTAGGGGTGACAGCGAAATTTTGCCCTTTAGCCAGTACCGTTTTCAGATTGTCCGAAATCGGGATGTTACTCTGATTAATAACGATTTTGTTAACGTCCATCTTTGTGATGTGTGGTTCTGGCTTCGTCTTTGATAGGAGGTTGAATTTAGCGATCAGGTGAGACGGAAGCTTGTGTTGGCTCCGAAACGTCGTGATTTAATTACACACACACCTACACACAGCACACACACCACACACACCTACACAACACACACCTACACAACACACACTACACACAGCACACACACACCTACACAACACACACACACACCTACACACCACACCTACACACAGCACACACAACACACACACCTACACAGCACACACAACACGCACAGCACACACAACACACACACCTACACAACACACTACAGACAACACACACACAACTACACACAGCACACACACCTACACACCACACACACCTACAGACCACACACACACCTACACACCACACACACACCTACACAACACACACACACACCTACACAACACACAATACAGACAACACACACACAACTACACACAGCACACACCTACACACCACACACACCTACAGACCACACACACACCTACACAACACACACACCTACACACCACACCTACACAACACACACACCTACACACCACACCTACACAACACACACAATACAGACAACACACACACAACTACACAGCACACACACCTACACACCACACACACACCTACACAACACACACACCTACACACAGTACACACACCTACACACAGCACACACACAACTACACACAGCACACACCTACACACAGCACACACACAACTACACAACAACCGCCATTCGCCACTAAGTGGCGGTGACGTCACCACGACGCTTGTGCCAGGACATGTGCACCTTGAGGCCACGTGGAGTGTCGAACGCCCGCTGGCAGGTCACGGGGCAGACCCAGGTGCCACGGGTCGACTAAGATGACTGAGATGACTGGCTGATGCACCACCTGTGCCCCCTACTGTGCCAACCTGCTGTGCTTTAGCCACCCGGCGCTCCGCTCGTTGTTGTGAGCGTCGCTCCTCCGCCCTCTGTTGTTGTTGGAGGGCGACTGCCTCCAACTGCCCAGTAGCATCCTTCACGAGCCTCCTCCACAGAGGCCGATCTTGACACCGGTGGTACCAGTCATCGGCAAGTCCACTCAGCTCCACGTCCTCCTGTACCACATCACTCCATCTCTTCTCTAGCCCGTGCCGCGCCCCGCTTAGCCCCCTCGATCCGGCAGAACAAAAGCTGTTTCGGCATGCGGTGGCTGGGCATGCGGGCTACGTGACCCAGCCATCGCAGCCTTGCCCGCCGGAGGAGCTCACCGATGGGACCTTGCAGAGATCTTTCAAGGATTTGTGAGCTCCTCACACATCCAGTCTGGTTAAACCCAGGATGGATCGTAGGCAGGCCAGCCTAAATGTTTCTAACCGGCGAAGATGTTCCATTAGGGGGGGTCCACGTTTCGCAAGCGTAGAGAAGGGAGGGAATGACCGTGGCCGAGAAGACCTGAAGCTTAGTGCGGAGCGACAGACCAGGTAGCTTCCACACAGCGTTACGCAACCGATGAAAAGATATTGCCGCTCGACTGATTCGGAGTGAGACCTCTGCTGTTAAACTGGAGCCGGTCACACACAGTGCACACACCTACACACAGCACACACAGTACACACACCTACACACAGTACACCTACACAACACACACCTACACAGCACACACACACACCTACACACACACCTACACACAGCACACACACACCTACACACAGCACACACACACCTACACACAGCACACACAACACACACGCATAGTCCACATCCTTTATTCATTTATCCTATGGCAGGAACCACAGTCAATTGGGAGGTGGTGGAGGTGGTGGTGGAGGAGGTGGAGGAGATGAAGGAGGTGGAGGAGGTGGAGGTGGAGGAGGAGATGGAGATGGAGGAGGTGGAGGAGGTGGTGGTAGTGGTGGTGGAGGTGGAGGTGGATGTGGAAGAGGTGGAGGAGGTGGTGGAGGAGGAGGTGGTGGAGGAGGTGATGGAGGTGGTGAAGGAGGAGGTGGAGGAGGCGGAGGTGGTGGAGGTGGTGGAGGAGGTGGTGGAGGAGGTGGAGGTGGTGGAGGTGGAGGAGGTGGTGGAGGAGGAGGTGGAGGAGGTGGTGGAGGAGGAGCAGGAGGAGGTTGATGATGGCGGCATGTTGATGATGTTGATGATGATGTCATCACTTCTTCACGATCTGGATGACATCTTCATCGTTCAGGACGTGCTCCTTCCCCACCTTCTGCGGGTTGTACTTCACTGAAGAACCCCACACCTGCGCACTGTAGAACACAGACAAAGGTCCCCCGTGTAGCCTAAACACACTGTAGGGGCAAGTGCTGTCACACACACACACTTACAAAGATCAAAGATAAAGATCCCCCATATAGCCCTAACAGACTGAAGGGGCAAGTGCTGTCACACACACTTACAAAGATAAAGATCCCCCATATAGCCTTAACACACTGTAGGGGCAAGTGCTGTCACACACACACTTACAAAGATCAAAGACAAAGATCCCCCGTATAGCCCTAACAGACTGTAGGGGCAAGTGCTGTTAGCAAGCACCTATGAAGGCCGGAACGGTACACGAGGGGGTGGGTGGCCAGCACCACGCCCGACCGCCTTTGTCTCCCCATGAGGCGATGTTTACACACCGCACCAGGTACTCATTTGAGGCTGAGTCGACCTACGGGAGGCCCGGGACCGGTTCAGATAATCGTCACCGGTGTTGGCCGTGAGCGGGAATCGAACCCGGGTTGCCAGGTTTATAGCGCAGCGTAGCGCTAACCACTACACTATCACTACACACAGATACACACACACAGACACACACACACACAGACAGACACACACAGATTCACACACATACACACAAAGATAAAGATCCCCCGTATAGCCTGTAGCAGACTGCAGGGACAAGTGCTGTTAGTAGCAGCAGCAGCGCCTGTGAAGGATACCGGCACTGTGGCTACACACAGAGGGGGTGGTGTGTGTCTACACACAGAGTGTGTGTCTACACACAGAGTGGTGGTGTGTGTCTACACACAAAGTGGTGGTGTGTGTCTACACACAGAGTGTGTGTCTACACACAGAGTGTGTGTCTACACACAGAGTGTGTGTCTACACACAGAGGGGGTGGTGTGTGTCTACACACAGAGTGTGTGGTGTGTGTCTACACACAGAGGTGGGTGGCTATCAGCACCACGCCCGGCCGCCTTTGTCTCTCCCCCAGTGCTGGCGATGTTCAACACCCTCCACTCCCCCCTATGCCCCTCCCCCCCACACTAAACCCCTCCCCCCCCACACTAAACCCCTCCCCCCTATGCTCCTCCCCCCCACACTAAACCCCTCCCCCCCACACTAAACCCCTCCCCCCTATGCCCCTCCCCCCCATACTAAACCCCTCCCCCCCACACTAAACCCCTCCCCCCCACACTAAACCCCTCCCCCCCACACTAAACCCCTCCCCCCTATGCCCCTCCCCCATATGCCCCTCCCACCCCCCCCACCCCTCACTATTTGAACTCCTTCATGAGGTTTTTGTGAATCTTGTTGCAGAAATCCTCGACGGAGGTGCGGCCGGCCTGGAGCACGACGGGAGACGCGTAGTCAGGCAGCTGTCCCTTGGGCTTCGTGTAACTACACACACAGTGTACACACACACAGTGTACACACAGTGTACACACACACAGTGTACACACACACAGTGTACACACAGGGTGTACACACACACAGTGTACACACAGTGTACACACACAGTGTACACACAGTGTACACACACAGTGTACACACACAGTGTACACACACACACAGTGTACACACACAGTGTACACACACACACAGTATACACACAGTAGTCAGGCAGCTGTCCCTTGGGCTTCGTGTAACTACACACACAGTGGTACACACAGTGTACACACACAGTGTACACACACAGTGTATACACACAGTGTACATACACAGTGTACACACAGTAGTCAGGCAGCTGTCCCTTGGGCTTCGTGTAACTACACACACACAGGGTGTACACACACAGTGTACACACACACAGTGTACACACAGTGTACACACACAGTATACACACAGTGTACACACACACACACACAGTGTACACACACAGTGTACACACAGTAGTCAGGCAGCTGTCCCTTGGGCTTCGTGTAACTACACACACACAGTGGTACACACACACAGTGTACACACAGTGTACACACACAGTGTACACACACAGTGTACACACACACACAGTGTACACACACAGTAGTCAGGCAGCTGTCCCTTGGGCTTCGTGTAACTACACACACACAGGGTGTACACACACAGTGTACACACACACAGTGTACACACAGTGTACACACACAGTATACACACAGTGTACACACACACACACACAGTGTACACACACAGTGTACACACAGTAGTCAGGCAGCTGTCCCTTGGGCTTCGTGTAACTACACACACACAGTGGTACACACACACAGTGTACACACAGTGTACACACACAGTGTACACACACAGTGTACACACACACACAGTGTACACACACAGTAGTCAGGCAGCTGTCCCTTGGGCTTCGTGTAACTACACACACAGTGGTACACACAGTATACACAGTGTACACACACACACACAGTGTACACACACACAGTATACACACACAGTGTACACACACAGTGTACACACACAGTACACACACAGTGTACACACAGTAGTCAGGCAGCTGTCCCTTGGGCTTCGTGTAACTACACACACAGTGGTACACACACACAGGGTGTACACACACAGTGTATACACACAGTGTACACACACAGTGTACACACACAGTGTACACACACAGTAGTCAGGCAGCTGTCCCTTGGGCTTCGTGTAACTACACACACACAGGGTGTACACACACACAGTGTACACACACACAGTGTACACACACAGTATACACACAGTATACACACAGTATACACACAGTAGTCAGGCAGCTGTCCCTTGGGCTTCGTGTAACTACACACACACAGTGGTACACACAGTGTACACACAGTGTACACACACACACACAGTGTACACACACAGTAGTCAGGCAGCTGTCCCTTGGGCTTCGTGTAACTACACACACACAGTGGTACACACACACAGTGTACACACAGTGTACACACACACAGTACACACACAGTGTACACACAGTAGTCAGGCAGCTGTCCCTTGGGCTTCGTGTAACTACACACACAGTGGTACACACACACAGTGTACACACACACACACACAGGGTGTACACACACACAGTGTACACACAGTGTACACACAGTGTACACACAGTAGTCAGGCAGCTGTCCCTTGGGCTTCGTGTAACTACACACACAGTGTACACACACAGTACACACACAGTGGTACACACACAGTGTACACACACAGTGTATACACAGTGTACACACAGTAGTCAGGCAGCTGTCCCTTGGGCTTCGTGTAACTACACACACACAGTGGTACACACAGTATACACAGTGTACACACACACAGTGTACACACACACAGTATACACACACAGTGTACACACACAGTATACACACAGTAGTCAGGCAGCTGTCCCTTGGGCTTCGTGTAACTACACACACACAGGGTGTACACACACACACAGTGTACACACACACAGTGTACACACACACAGTATACACACACAGTGTACACACACAGTATACACACAGTAGTCAGGCAGCTGTCCCTTGGGCTTCGTGTAACTACACACACACAGGGTGTACACACACAGTATACACACACAGTGTACATACACACACAGTGTACACACACAGTGTACACACACAGTGTACACACAGTGTGTACATACACACACAGTGTACACACACAGTATACACACACAGTGTACATACACACACAGTGTACACACACAGTGTACACACACAGTGTACACACACAGTGTACACACACAGTAGTCAGGCAGCTGTCCCTTGGGCTTCGTGTAACTACACACACACAGTGGTACACACAGTGTACACACACAGTATACACACAGTATACACACACAGTATACACACACAGTACACACACAGTGTACACACAGTAGTCAGGCAGCTGTCCCTTGGGCTTCGTGTAACTACACACACAGTGTACACACACACACAGTGTACACACACACAGTGTACACACACACAGTATACACACACAGTGTACACACACAGTATACACACAGTAGTCAGGCAGCTGTCCCTTGGGCTTCGTGTAACTACACACACACAGGGTGTACACACACAGTATACACACACAGTGTACATACACACACAGTGTACACACACAGTGTACACACACAGTGTACACACAGTGTGTACATACACACACAGTGTACACACACAGTATACACACACAGTGTACATACACACACAGTGTACACACACAGTGTACACACACAGTGTACACACACAGTGTACACACACAGTAGTCAGGCAGCTGTCCCTTGGGCTTCGTGTAACTACACACACACAGTGGTACACACAGTGTACACACACAGTATACACACAGTATACACACACAGTATACACACACAGTACACACACAGTGTACACACAGTAGTCGGGCAGCTGTCCCTTGGGCTTCGTGTAACTACACACACACAGTGTACACACACAGTGTACACACAGTATACACACACAGTATACACACACAGTGTACACACACAGTACACACACAGTGTACACACAGTAGTCGGGCAGCTGTCCCTTGGGCTTCGTGTAACTACACACACACAGGGTGTACACACACACAGTGTACACACACAGTGTATACACAGTGTACACACACAGTGTACACACACACACAGTGTACACACACAGTAGTCAGGCAGCTGTCCCTTGGGCTTCGTGTAACTACACACACACAGGGTGTACACACAGTGTACACACACAGTGTACACACAGTATACACACAGTGTACACACACACAGTGTACACACACAGTAGTCAGGCAGCTGTCCCTTGGGCTTCGTGTAACTACACACACACAGGGTGTACACACACAGTGTACACACACAGTGTACACACACAGTGTACACACACAGTGTACACACACAGTGTACACACAGTAGTCAGGCAGCTGTCCCTTGGGCTTCGTGTAACTACACACACAGTGTACACACACACAGTGTACACACAGTGTACACACACAGTGTACACACACACAGTGTACACACACAGTATACACACACACAGTGTACACACACAGTGTACACACAGTAGTCAGGCAGCTGTCCCTTGGGCTTCGTGTAACTACACACACACAGGGTGTACACACACAGTGTACACACACAGTGTACACACACAGTGTACACACACAGTGTACACACACAGTGTACACACACAGTAGTCAGGCAGCTGTCCCTTGGGCTTCGTGTAACTACACACACACAGTGCACACACACACAGTGTACACACAGTGTACACACACAGTGTACACACACACAGTGTACACACACAGTGTACACACACAGTGTACACACACAGTGTACACACAGTAGTCAGGCAGCTGTCCCTTGGGCTTCGTGTAACTACACACACAGTGTACACACACACAGTGTACACACAGTGTACACACACAGTGTACACACACACAGTGTACACACACAGTATACACACACACAGTGTACACACACAGTGTACACACACAGTGTACACACACACAGTGTACACACAGTAGTCAGGCAGCTGTCCCTTGGGCTTCGTGTAACTACACACACACAGGGTGTACACACACACAGTGTACACACACAGTGTATACACAGTGTACACACACAGTGTACACACACACACAGTGTATACACAGTAGTCAGGCAGCTGTCCCTTGGGCTTCGTGTAACTACACACACAGTGGTACACACAGTATACACAGTGTACACACACACACACAGTGTACACACACACAGTATACACACACAGTGTACACACACAGTACACACACAGTGTACACACAGTAGTCAGGCAGCTGTCCCTTGGGCTTCGTGTAACTACACACACACAGTGTACACACAGTGTACACAGTGTACACACACACACAGTGTACACACACACAGGGTACACACAGTATACACACAGTGTACACACACAGTGTACACACACAGTGTACACACACACACAGTGTACACACACACACAGTGTACACACACAGTGTACACACACAGTGTACACACAGTGTACACACACAGTGTACACACACAGTGTACACACAGTGTACACAGTGTACACACACACACAGTGTACACACACACAGGGTACACACAGTATACACACAGTGTACACACACAGTGTACACACACAGTGTACACACACACAGTGTACACACACAGTGTACACACACACACAGTGTACACACAGTGTACACACACAGTGTACACACAGTGTACACACACACAGTGTACACACACACAGTGTATACACACACAGTGTATACACACACAGTATACACACACACAGTATACACACAGTAGTCAGGCAGCTGTCCCTTGGGCTTCGTGTAACTACACACACAGTGTACACACACACAGGGTGTACACACACACAGTATACACACAGTGTACACACACAGTGTACACACAGTGTACACACACACAGTGTACACACACACAGTGTATACACACACAGTGTACA